CACTCAACCTAAACGGACTAAACGGACTAAATTAACATGCTTATTAATTAATTGCCGAAACCTTAAGAACAAAGTAGCTGATCTTGCAGCAACAATTAACGAACATAAACCTGATGTTGTTTTGGGGAACGAATCTTGGCTTACGCCAGATATTGCAAACTCGGAAATATTCCCGAACGATTATAATGTCTTTAGAAAAGACAGACCCGATGGTTATGGGGGAGTCTTCCAGGCTACTAAAAAGGACTTGATAGTCACCCAACGATTAGAACTTGACACAGATTGCGAAATCGTTTGGACACAATGCCAGTTGGCAGATAAAAAAGCAAAATCTATTTTGTTGGGGTCGTTCTATTGCCCAAATGCACACGACATAAAAAGTCTACATGAACTCGACAATTCTGTCTCAGCCCTAGGAGATAAATTACATCAACACAACGTAGTATTAGCTGGTAATTTCAATGCCCCCAACATCTTATGGGAAAACCAACAAATCACAAGGAATATTTTTACCTCAGCGTTGCTGCTTGAAATTGTCGACAAACACGACCTGTGTCAGCTTGTGAGAGAACCGACACGTAAACAGATTCAAACACAAAATATTTTAGACCTCGTCTTAGCTAACAATAGAAATAATATTAGCGACATTGAAGTAATCCCTGGTATAAGCGACCATGATATTGTGCGTTTTTCAATTAACTCACGCTGTAGAAGGAAACCAAACGTTAAACGGAAAGTATATATTCGAAAGAAAGCGGACTCAGATCGTATTAGGAAAGAGTTGCAAGCGTTTACCGAAAACTTCGACAAAGCATGTGAGGGAAAATCCCTAAATGATAAATGGGACGAGTTTGAATTAACAATGCGACATATAATTGATAATTGTGTGCCGCACAAAACTACCAGTTCACGGCACAATCTTCCATGGTTCACGCGATCCTTAAGACGACAAACTCGTGGAAAACAAAGGCTATACAACAAAGCAAAGAAGTCAGGAAATGAATCCCACAGGGCAATTTTAGAGAATCCAAACGAAAAGTACATTCAGACTTGAAAGCTGCTAGGGAAAATTATGTTAGTAATTTTCTTGGAGAGTCCATAAAAGAAAGCCCCAAGAGATTTTGGTCATACGTTAAGAAATTAAATAAAGATGATGTCAATATATCGGACTTTGACATTAATGGAGAGTCCATAAGTGATAGAAAGCATAAATCAGAACTTTTAAGTGAACATTTCTCGAGTGTTTTTACCCTTGAAAATATTAGTAATATGCCAAAATACCCGAAAATTCAAATCCTAGTATTAATCCCCCAATTATTTCTGCCCGAGGGGTTGTTGCCCAACTATCTGCGTTAAAACCCGATAAAGCACCTGGACCAGATGAAATTCCCCCGTGGTTTATGAAGGAATATGCAAACGAAACTGCCCCGACACTTACAAAGATATTTCAGGAGTCTATAGACATTGGCGTCGTACCAAAGAAATGGAAAAATGCAAATGTCACGGACCAATTTCGTTGACGTGTATCTCTAGCAAGGTGCTCGAGCATATTGTGCATAGCCATATCGTGAAATATTTCGACCGATATAACATCTTAACTGATTTACAGCATGGTTTTAGGGCCAAAAGGTCGACTGTAACTCAATTGATTGGTACTATCCACGATATTTCAAGTGCTATTAACAATGATTCCACTGTACATGTTGTCATTCTGGACTTTGAAAAAGCATTCGACAAAGTCCAACATCAACGCCTGTTGAGAAAATTACAAAGTTACGGAATACAAGGGCCCCCGAATAATTGGCTTGAATCATTTCTCACGGATCGTTATCAGACAGTTGTTTGTGAAGGGGAAGCAGCCAAACCAACATCGGTAACCTCAGGCGTCCCACAAGGAACTGTTTTGGGACCGTTATTGTTCCTTTCGTACATTAACGATTTGCCAAAAGCACTGAATTCTAGTGTTCGATTGTTTGTGGACGACGCGCTTTTGTACGGCCTAATCTCGGGAAGCTCAAACAGTGATGAATTGCAGGACGATCTTAGCAAGTTGGACACCTGGCAAGAGAAATGGCAAATGAAGTTCAATCCAGGGAAATGTAAAGTATTATGCATATCAACAAAAAAGACCCTCCGCATAGGAAATATTCTTTCTGTAACACAGAGTTGGAGCAAGTCGAGTCGGTCGCTTACCTGGGTATCACCCTAAATAACAAAATGAAGGACACAGACAAGCACTCAAACACAGCAAGTAAAGCCAGTAAATTACTTGGAATGGCACGAAGAAATTTTTGGAATTGTCCAAAACACGTTAGGGAAACTGTTTACAAAACAATGGTAAGACCAAAACTGGAATATGCTTGTGAGGCATGGGACCCACACTACAAGAAAGACATTAAGACACTAGAAAAAGTCCAAAGAAAAGGCGCGAGATTCTGCTTGCAGAACTATGCTCCACTTGCCAGCGTTACAGGTATGTTGGACACGCTTGGATGGAAGACATTAGAAGAGAGGAGGGTGGAATCAAGATTAACAATGATGTACAAGATAAGTCATAACCTTGTAGATTTTAACACCGATCAGTATTTGAAATTACACCCAGATTCTAGAACACGCGGCAGCCACCCATTGAAATACCAAATTCCTAAGGCAACTAAAGACGTTTTTAAATATTCATATTTCCCAAGAACTATCAGAGAATGGGATAAGCTACCACCTGAACTAGTCCTCTCAAGTTCATTAGGTGAATGCAAAACGAAACTACACTCTAAAAACACTCTGGTTAAATTCAACCAGGAACTGGACCAATAAACTACCTAGCACATTCCTGGTTAAATTAACTAATTTCCTGGTTAAAAATGATTGATTCAACAAAAATTTGGCCATACTTCTTTGGACTTTTAACCAGGAAAATGGTTTAATTTTTTTAACCAGGATTGTGTAGGTGGATTTTTAACCCCATCCTGGTTGAATTAACCCAAATTTAACCAGAGTGTTTTTAGAGTGTAAATAGTCATTTTTAAATGTATTATATTGAATTTTATTGTAGCTAACTTGGAACCTTTTAAACAAATTTATAGGTATTGACATTGTTCATATTTTAATTAGTTTATTTATATACTGTAGTTTTCAAAGTTGGTGTGATCTTGCAGAAGTTTACCGACATAATAAATTGAGATTGAGATTGAGATTACTTACAAACCCTAAAACCAGCATTCTGATATTAATTCCATCAAGTGAAGCGCAAGAAACCAGATAATTGAAGTCCTGCTTGTCTCAACCTGCACACCTGTTCACCTATATATGCATGAACTTGCGGTTACAGCTCAACAGCTGGCCCCCGTAGTTCAGTTGTTTAGAGCGCTGCGCTGGAATTGCAGGGCGGGAGGTTAAATTCGTACCAGCGGACCTTGTGCTGCATTTTTCGCAGTCGTTCCTGGTCAGGTCTTAAAATGTATATATACTCACTTGGATTACAAACCCTAAAACCAGCATTCTGATATTAATTCCACCAAGTGAAGTGCAAGAAATCAGATCATTGATTTTGCCTTGGCAGCATGTTTTTATGGCTTGTGTTTAGTTCTGCATAAACTCGATGGTTTCATTTAATTTATAAGGTTAAAGGCAAGGCACGGTTTGATCGTTCGTCAATTTCCTAACTGAGAAATTCTCTATTGTGAGAAAAATTTCAGTATCAAATATCCCCACAATATTAGGAGACACAAGGATACACAATAAATTATAATATGCAGCCTGCAATTCACTTGGTTCCGAACTGTCTCTGTCAGAACTTGGTTCTGAACTGTCTGTGTCAGTGTTGGTAGTGCCAACAATAACAAGCTTTCGTTCGTAGGGATGCAACTACCTGAAAAAAATAAGGAGTAATTCGACGTTTCGAGCGAAGGCAGAAGACATTTTTCGACGTTTCGAGCGAAGGCCGAAGGCCTTTTGTCTGGACTATTAATCTTATAAATACTAATTCCAGACAAAAAGCCTGCGCTAGATACATCGACATTCTCCTTATATTTTCCGGTAATTGCACGCCCACCAACGAAAGATTGTTACAAGACTTTAGAAGCTATATTTGAAAACTTACCCTCTGGCTTCTGTATTACTGAGCGTTGTGAATTCATGTTGTTGACATATATAATACGGCAATACCGCCAGACACTCTATTGGGCATGCCCTGCTTCTGGTGTTGTCATTTGGAACAGTTTGTCTCTCTGGATGTAAGTTATAATTTATAAACCGTTTGCCGAGCGAAATCAGGAATCAGCAACAAGAAATATAATTCATAACCCAAACAGAAAACACGCACCCGCGCCAAATAATAGAAGATTGTTCAGACTTTAGACATGCTTTAGCTAGACTTCAGAGGAAACCCACACAAAACTGGGAAGCTTCCTAATTGTCTGTCTGTCTGTCTGCCAATCAGAACACTGTGTGTATCTGTATATCATCCCTCATTGGCTCCTGTCTATGAGTTAGTGCTAAATTAAAAGAACCCTGAATTGAGAACCCTGACAGGCTGACAAAGGTTGAAAATTTATATATGAACAGTTTTCTTTGCGGAGCATTAAAAACGTGCTGAGAATCAAATTTTATAGCACACGCTTACAGACTACGCAAACATTCGACGAAAACATGCAAGGACTATTGGTTCCGGATGCATCCAAAACCATTCTCATGAGCTATAAATCGACTAATCCGTCTGTACCTGTCTAGGGATTGGTTTTGGATGCATCCAAAACCATTTTCATGCGCTATATATTGGCTAGTTTGCTTGCATCTGTCTAGGGATTGGTTCGGGTGCATCCAAAACCATTCTCGTGAGCTACAAATTGACTCACTTGTTTGCATCTGTCTAGGGATTGGTTTTGGTGCATCCAAAACTATTTTCATGCGCTATATATTGGCTAGTTTGTTTGCATCTGTCTAAGAATTGGTTTTGGACTCATCCAAAACCATTCTCATGCGCTTTTTTCGGCTAATTAATTTGTTTGCATCTGTCTACGGATTCGTTTTGGATGCATGCAAAACCATTCTCATCAGCTATAAATTGACTGTTTTGTTTGCATCTGTCTAAGGATTGGTTTTGGATGCATCCAAAACCATTCTCGTAAGCTATAAATTGACTAATGTGTTTGCAACTGTCTAGAGATTGGTTTTGGATGCTTCCAAAACCATTCTCATAAGCTATAAATTGACTGTTTTGTTTGCATCTGTCTAGGGATTGGATTCGTATGCATCCATATTCATTCTCGTGAGCTACAAATTGACTAACTTGTTTGCATCTGTCTAGGGATTGGTTTTGGATGCATCCAAAACTATTTTCATGCGCTATATATTGGCTAGTTTGTTTGCATCTGTCTAGCGATTGGTTTTGGACACATCCAAAACCATTCTCACGAGCTATAAATTGACAAATTTGTTTGCATCTGTCTAGGGATTGGTTTTGGATGCATACAAAACCATTCTCATGAGCTATAAATTGACTGTTTTGTTTGCATCTGTCTAAGGATTGGGTACTTAGAAACGGCCGGTGATTTAGTGACTATTGTTAAATATAAAAACTTTTGTTTACGCCAACTTTGACCGACCTTGCCGTTAGCATGCATATACAGAAAAGGCACTGCGTGCGGAAAGTGAAACACAGTCCGGGGCGATCCCGTTGTGCTTTGTCTGACATAGCATTTTTTAAGAAACTTTTTTTCGCCTTTTCTAACTCTCAAAAGGTTAGGGGTAACGGTTAGGGTTAAGGTTAGGATTAGAGAACGGTTTGGGGATAGGATCAGTTTATCTTATAAAATTGCAACTTTAACTATAGTCACTATATATAGCCAGCAGTATTTGCTAAATAGCCGGCTGCTGGCTGTATAGTCTCTTCGAAATATGTAGAGAATATTAGGCGGTTGCGAGCAGTTATGGATTTTATCTTCGAGTTGCAAAAAAAATGCTATTTTTATGTTCTTTGAGGCAATAAAATAATAAACCTAACCCACATTCAACCCCCGACCCTAATTTTGACTCTTTATCCTAACCAAAATTCCAAAACTCAACCACCAAACTACCAAAGAGCTGGGCCTAAGTGGCAGGTTAAATTTGCAAGTCCCTGCAGGTTCATTAATCGTTGAGTTTTGGTCAGGATAAAGACCACAGGTTAGAGTTGGATTTCGGTGAATTTTGCGATTTTATTGCCTAACAGAACATGAAAATAGCCAAAATATATGCATTTTATGCAATCTGCATATTAGATTCGCATTTATGCAAATGAATCTGCAAATTAGTGAACAACTCAAATTGGCTGATGTGAAAAAGTCTGGATTTATTTTATAGATTGCCAAGATACACTCTATTACATAAGGAACACCATGACATGTTGCGTCAGTCTTTGCACGACTCTCCCTCGTGAAACATATACACGAATTTTGTGTGACCTCTTATAGACCAGTGGCACTGGGCTAAAATATTCAAAATCGTTACTTATATCCACTCAAAATATGACTAATTTAGAATCAAATACGTATGACAGCTGAGGTGAATAGGTGAAATTCACGACAACTATCATAGGGCTGATAGTGCTGAACCGACAATTTTTTACTTATTATAATCATCATAACATTCCTGAAGTTGACTAACATTGGCGGCTTCGTTATGCTTATTGAAAATCACCGACAACGTTTATATTTTAGATGTTGATGTAGAAAAGTTAGTCATGCCGCATACCAGAAGTGCTTTTCAAGGCGGACGAACAATTATCCACGATAACTGAACTTCACACATTCATAACACGTAAAGGGATGTGACTTTCTGATTAACTGTTGAGATCAAAGTGAGCCACATTCGAGTAGTTTAATCCAAATACTTTGGTCAAACATACAACTCAGTAAAATCACTTAAATCTTATAATAGCATAAGACCGTCTTTGAGAATATTTAGACTCATACTGTCATTATTCGCTCAGCAATTAGGTACAAGGTTTGAAGCGATCCTGCAGTTCCCATACCTCTGTGGTATAAGAAACTATTCAATTCCTATTTTAAAAATTAATCAGTTTATTTTCTAAGGAATTTGTCTCGTAATCATGTTTTTCGAATTCTACTGAAAATAATCATGTTCGGCAAGATATTGTCACCTTCGTGCCCAGTGCATTTTGCTTCCCCTGTTGCATGGTCAGAGAAAAAGGGCCTGACTTCGGCTGGTCTCGTTTACAACCTCTTGGTCAATGATTTTAAATGTAAGTTTTCAATTTATGTGGGAATATATTATTTTGGTGGAACGAAAGTACAGTGACAAATTTATAATTAGTTCTCGAAGGACTAATGTATTGAGCAAATAATATTTAATTTTGACATTTCGCATAAGAAACAGCATGAATTCAATGAATTTAGGAAAGACAATGCATAACAAAACTGTTTGGTCCAAATTAAGTCTTTGTACATTTTGTCTAGACGACGAGTTATTGCTTTGGTTCAGCATACATTACTCACATGCGTCGTTTATACATTGTTGATTTCAAGAAATGTACATCATTATAGTCAAATAAGGATTGTGATACGAATATATTTGCTCAATGGTTTACCTCAGAGTGCATGTTATTGCTGAAAATAGCATGTTATTGCTGTATTGTTGCGATCCTCATTATGACTTGTGTTTTACTATACCAAGTTTACCTTATATTAAATTGCATAAGACATGCTGTCATTTTACCTTTACAAATAATCCGTCTGTCAAAGCGAAAGAATTGTGGTTATATTCCCAATTAATAGCGAGGCTCTTCTTTCTAAGTTGGATGGCGTTAAATATCTGTGTATCATCAACGTGAAAACAAGCGCAGTATTTAAGGTTAGTATATTACAATGCATTACGGTTGACTTGTTATTTGGTCAAATTTCCGCTTTGCTGTTTTCAATATTGTACTGTAATTTTATAAATACCCAGACACTGTACAAATTATGGCGTAATATTTTTAATAATTTAACCCTTAGTTTGATCTTTCTCCTAATGAGTTTGGTAACGAAAACACCCAGCATATGCTTTTGATTTTGGATTTCGATGTGGATCATATATATTGACAGCGAATAGAATTGATGATGAACATTCAGATGATGAACATTGATTCTCAGATGAGTCTGAAAATAATTGTTATTCTACTGTTTGTATGTATTGTTTTATAAATTTTTGCTGAGTGTGATGCCTGTTTGTATCTAGTTGCGGGTGGTTGTTTAAATGTCCAAACTGTAATTTAATATTTTTTTTTCAATTTTCCTCGAAATATTGCTGTTTGAATATTTTTGCTAATTTTAGAGATGACAATGTATCAAATAATATTTTTCTTGTTATGATTTTATAGAAAGAGATTTACTTGAGTGGTTGGCTGGTCTTGAGCCTCTTCAGGATGTGCATGATAATGAAAGACGTGATCAATGTGATTGGGCAGAAAGTGATGGACAAATTAAGTGATGAAGACGAAAGTGATGAGGAGGAAGAAATCGCCCACTCTGTGCCATTCAAGTGCATCGGTGCTGCTCTCATGAGAAAAACAACTGACATCATTTGGAAAATTAAGGCATAATACCTCGCTCTACATGAAAAAGATAAAACAGTGAATTCGATGTAAGAATACGTCCAGCACCATTGAAAACAAGGGATCCAAGTGCAATAGGAAATTCCAGCTTTTAGATTATGCGTGCAGAGTGTATGTTGACAGATGTCTTTTATATAATAGCCTAAATAGCAACTACCATAGCTATGTTTAGCAAGTTATTAGTGCATCTATTTCAATTGGCTAACTTTTTAGTTTTTTTCAGCATTTTTTAAACAAACCATAGGTTATGAATGATAACTGAGTATATCTAATTAAAACAATCTATCATGTACACTCATGCAAATAAGACTAAGTACAGAAATAACTGGAACAAATGTACTTTAGTAAATAAATGAATAATTTATTCATACACTTGACCTACTTTGTGAGTATTTTTTCAGATTATTAATTAATGCAACAATAAACCAAGAAAATGTCTATTCATACAATATTTTTTAAATGATCAGAGATCCCACTTCAGCTCAGAAACCACTGCCAGCATGGTAAGATCCCACAACATCATGCCACTTAATTTGTTATATATATACATTAAACTTGTTTTATTGTTTTAAAACAAGTGAAGCTCTCTGCTGGTTTGAAATGGGATGTTATGACACTGATTTTTCCATGCTCAGGATTCCGCAGCTCGATTTGCCACAAAATCCCAGTATCAGGCGATCAACTCGTCTTGAAATACGTACACGATCCAGTCGCGTCGACCAAAGACAACAAAAGCTTGAAAATATTAAAACAAATCCTAAGTCTTCTGAATAATATTTCAACGCTTTAACAGAAATTCATTGAAAATATCATCTTTGATGGCGCATTTTCTTTCCAAGGTATTAGACGCCATTTTAGCGAATGTCGACTTGACAATAGTCAATTCAACGGTCAATATCTCGAAAACTACTGCGGGGATCACCGGGATCATTCCAGAGCCGCTGGAAGATCGATAATTGCGCGGCAGATATTCATATATTCGTGTTCACAGACTTTAAAAACAATCGATTTCAAAAGAAATTAATTGGGCAGAACACGAATATATGAATATCTGCCCCCAATTACCGATATTCCGGCACCTCTGGATCATTCCAGCAGATTTAAAGCTTATATTTTTGTCTTGACGAATGACGACTACCAAAAGAACAAAATCGAACCATGGGAATTCTAGATATTTCGTTTTAAACAATGTAAACATATTTAGACTTGAGTCAACACGTCGCGGGGAGTCGACTAACTTCAAGCATCAAACTATGAAAATAACGTTTACCTCAGAGTTTTTGCAGACATCACCGATTTCTTTTCCGTCAAATGCTAATTTTTCTGTCCAAATTCTGCAGATAAAACGATGGAAAATATAGCGACCTCGTTGGTCGAAAGCTCACGTGACAACTCGCAAATTGCTTGTCGAACCTCCTCTGTCTTTCAAACAAGAGAAACTCAATGTCTAATTATAGTGTGCTTTAAAGTATATAGGTCGAATAAATATAAATGCAAAAGCAAAATAATAACAATATTTAATCAGGAATTGAATCAAAGTAGAAAATTTATAGACAAGTGCAAATTCTAAAACGTAATCGTGCCAAATTTATTTATTTAGTTTTTCAATTCCACGGATGTCAAAATTTGACGACCCCAAAAGTAGACACATCGTGCAGGGTTGAAATTATTGATTTCTATCAATTATTTCTCTTCTCCGATTGTTCTCTTCTTGTCACGGGCATAGACTTGATAGGCGGCTTTCAGCCCACTCTCCAAGGCGCCTTGAATCCAACCAGCGGCAAATGATAAGGCGTCTCCAGCGAAATGTACGTTACCCATGGGTTCCCACAAAGTTCTAAATTACGAAAAAATAAAAATTAATATAGATGAATAAAAGATACATATATTATATGTTATTGACTGAGCGAGTGGTCCGGATTGAAATTAAAAATAACACGAAGATTGTCCGGATCGAACAAATTCAGTCAATAAGTCAGTCATCGATCCGTCCTGACTATGTAGCTCAGTTGGTTGGGCATCGATCTATACAGTAATTCGAAGGTCACGGGTTCGAAACCCAGCCGCGGCGGGCAGAGTTTTTTGCTTGCGCGCTATCTGAAAATGATGATATATCTCACTCATAGAAATAATAGGTATAGAATGCGTACTTGATCACAAATCATGCCTCCACTTTTTCTCATGCGTGCCCAATTATAAATCCGCCATACTGAATTTGACTAGGAGTGCAAAGTATAAACACAGGAAATACAACGTTTTCATCGTCAAAACGTTTTGTCTTGCATGTTGTCTAATTTATAGTTTAGGCATAGATTTTGAAATATTAAGTTCTTTGAAGGCACAAAGCAAATGTGTAGTTACAAAAACGGTGAAAATCGTGCAGCCTTGTAAAAACAAAGTAGTTTCGCGTAAATATAATTTACTCATAAAACATTTTTGCACGCTCTGAACGTCACCATACTGTCACTACTTTGCTAATATCTTATAAGATTACAAAATAATAATTCTTTCTTCCTCGGGTTTCGTTTTTCTTCAATATAAACGAAGTGTTTTCATGTTCTTGAAACAAAAATGTTTAGTGGTCGATACACTGTAAATTTCCCAAATAATCGTCGAAAACTATGGTTTTCAAAGGCGTTGTTGCCTCAAGCTCAAGCAACGTAAAAAATATGAAAAGTAATTGTGTAAATTTAAAAAGATTATTGAACTCCATTTATATTATGAAAGAGTTAAAATATTTGTAGAACATACCTATTGATCGAATTTGAGTTTGTCTTGATCTTTCGTGTTTTGTTTTGACTTGCACAACAACGTTGAAAATTTATTTTTAATTAAACGATGATTTCTGTATATATTCTGTAAAGAACTATTGCTTATCGTAAAAACGCCCACTGGAATGGGTTTTTAGACACTTTTTCCTCTTTACAAAGCGTTTTTTCTCATTTGAAGTCTCGATAAAATTTTTTTTGCAAACTTTGCAGTTGAAAAAACAATTCGCACTCCTTGCAACCGCGCGAAATTCCTTGGCTCAGGGGTCTGCTGCATGGGACCAACCAAAATGCCCTTATAATTTTTTTACTGAGAAAAGATAGGAGTACGCATTCTATATCTATTATTTCTATAATCTCACTCGAGAACATTTTCTCCTTTCCGACATTTTTCTCAAATACCGTTGGTTTTTCCTTGTTTGATGGCGTGAACGTACGCGCGCGCGAAAATTGTTGGTGTTGCCTTCACGCGCAGACCACATTTCCTTAAACATGGCTTTTGGTGCACGCACTTCGAGAAGATTTCTGATCTTTTGTGCGGCAGATGTCGACACGACACTTTAGTATTTGCAGCTTCTCTTGTATAAGCATAGGTTGCATCTTCATCTTCCACTTGCGTACGAGACAGCCTTGGGTCCAAGAATGGACCAAGTGATGTTATATGGCCTTCCGCTTCTCTGTAATCTCCAAATATGCTTCGATAGCTCCGTTTCATTCGCGTATCACTGAAGTTCGAACAAGTTCTTATGGTATACCTGTCTTTAATTTAAATTTACCAGCTGTTACTCCAATGTACCGCTCAGTGTCACCGTTGTCGTGACTATGTAGTTTGGCTTGATAAACGATAGCCTGGATTAAACATTATTTCTGGTGGGGCACTTCTCTTCCATGCGACAGTTACAGTTGGCTTCTTTGGTTGCGGTGGGTTGGGTCGATTTGATTTTCGTGTTGTGGTCCTTGACATTCTTCATGCAGCTGCAACTAATCTTGATTGAATTGCGGCTAAAGATCTTATGTAGACGGCTTGATTGAGGAAAATGTTTGTCAATAAGTTGGAGGAAAGTTTTGCCAATATTTGTTACTATGTTCTTGCTGTATGGTGGGCTAAACGATATTACGTTTCTGTGTCTTTTGCGTTTCTGTTGGCCAGTACAACTCTCATTGTTGGAGTCGCCAAATTTACTTGATGGTGATTCATTGTATTGTACTACGACATAATGCATTCACTCAGGTTGGGGCTGATAAATTGAACGTTTCACAGAAAAGTAATATGGTTTAACCCATCTTACAGCAAAAACTTAATAACAAACATTGGCAAAACTTCCCTCCAACGTATCGACAAGCATTTCCCTAAATCAAGCCGTCTACATAAGATCTTTAACCGTAATTCAATCAAGATCTGTTACAGCCGCATGAAGAATGTGAATACACCGATTTCTAACCACAACACGAGAATTAGATCGACACAACCCACCGCAACCAAAGAAACCAGGTGTAACTGTCGCAAGAAAGACGAATTCCCCCACCAGAAAAATGTTTGACCCATGCAGGCTATCGTTCATCAAGCCGAAGTAAATAGTCACGACAACGGTGATACTATAAGCGGTACATTCGAGTAGCATCTGGCGAATTTAAAGACAGGTACATAAACCATAAGAAATCGTTCGAGCTTCGGAGATACGCGAATGAAACGGAGCTATCGAAGCACATTTGGAGACTTTTAATATATCGGGACAGTAAAATTGATTGGAAATAGTAAACTGCGACGAAACAAAATTTAGTATTCAGTAAATGTTTTGGGCGAATTCAATCGGTTTCATCTTTGCACCTCTACAAGAAAGGCGACTGAGTTCGCATAAAACTTGAGTGCCGCATAGAATTCATCCCACCATTTAAGATTGGAATTACAGAAATAAATTGATTAAAAACTTCATCTCTCACATCTGGCAAGCATTAGGAATTCGTCTTGTTTTACAAGATATCGAAGTATACCGCGGCATTTTTGCAACATACAATGGACAACTCGCATTATAGATTTCGGGCCGCTAAGCATGACGGTAGGAGGCTGTAGGCTGCTTCCAAACGAAATGGCCGCCGTGGGAGCGGACGATTTTGTTTGGAGGAATATATGGCGGATTTTAAACTATTTATTGCATCGATCGATACGTTTTTTGTTATGGAACATAACAAGGGCGCTTTTCGCTATATTCTGGGGAAATTTGTGGAATTTCTGTCCATTAGCGGCCGAGAAAATGCGTTGAGAGGGGCACGTCTTGTAAACATGCCTTGCAGAAATTTGCTCGCGAAATTCTAACCTTCCCAACTAAAGCAGGTGAGTTGGCGTTTCAATATGCGATCGGCTAAATATTATTTCAAAATAAGATGCTCTGATAGTTGTTTGTATTCGATCTCATAGTTGTTTTACATGTTCGCGTGTCGAAATGGCATTTTAAGCTTCGGGAAATTTACAACTTTTGTCACGATTGTGTTCGAATTTGCCATTGGACGTGCCCTCACTTCACCTAATGTTTTACTTTTGTTTTGGCGCGAAAATACCCTGAATTTAAATAAGCAGCCTTCAATTCTAGCAAGAAAATTTAAAAATAAAAGATTTTTCTGGGTTTACTGCTGTTGTTTGTCCTCTAGCTGAAGTGCAATTTGGTTCGTGTCCTCCATTGTTAAATTTTTTAAATTACTCATGAGTTCTAGAATAATTTTAGGTAAATAAATTTAGGTATATTCAAATATTTAACTTTTTAGGCCTTCTTAAAGTCGTTTTAGATTTTGTCTATAAATTTTTGGATAGGATATAAAAATATTTAGTTAAATTATAAATAGTAAAATTAATATTTAGGGTATATATTTAAATTTGTTAATATTGTAAATACTGTAAATACATTATTAAATTTATTAAATATGGAGGTTGAACCTATAAACACTTCACTTGAGGTGAATAACACTGAAATACCAACATTAAAAAGGTGGACAAGGGATTTAAATGGCCTCCCAGAATTTAATTATGAGTTATTAAGCAAGCATTTGGGAACTGAACAATCTGGTGGTGCTCACAAACACAAAAAGTTAGGATATCAAATGTTCAAGGATAAATATGTTGGTCAAGTTGAAGTTAAAGCAAATGTCATCAAAGATGCCATGAAAAACATAACATATACAGTATATGTTCATTTAAATGAAGCTAATGGGGAAGTTGTATATAGCAACTGCACGTGTAAAGCTGGCAAAGGTGGACAATGTAAACATATTGTTGCATTGCTGTTTCAAGTAATCGAATATAAACAATTAGACATGACTGAAATTCCCGATCACCTTACTTGCACACAGTTATTACAGCAATGGTATGTACCGAGAAAGAATGAGTCGGATGAGGCAGTTCTGTATGAAAGCATTGTTTTTAAAAAGGCTGTTTACGAAAAAGATATTAAAAACAGTAATAAGCGTAAAAGATCACAACTACCCGAAGAGGAAGTGTATAATCCCACCCCAGATTTTGCTAAAGTTATCAAACAAACTGAAATAGAGAAAATGGCAAGCAAGTTGAATGCACTAGAAGAGAAAAGCTATTTAGGCAACTTATTGGAGTCAAATGATTGCAAGCCATGTGCATTTGAGGCTATCCACCAGGAACTTCCATCAAAAAAGAAACACACTGAATCCCTTACTCTGAACTTTAATGACACTGCCATCCGTGAAAAAGTTTTAGATAATTTACAACCTACTTCAGTTGAGAAATCCAATAGCTACAGAGAGACAGTTAAGAAATTGAAACATTCTACAAATATTACGCATTCAGAAATACTCCAGATTGAAAAAAATACCAGGGATCAATCTTCAAGTGACAAGTGGTTTGAGGAGCGGCATAAGAGACTCACTTCGTCAAATTTCGGTGCAGTAGTTAAGAGAAGAAAAACAATTTTCCCAACGTCACTATTAAACAAAATCCAAAATCAGTCCAAACAAGCTAAGTGTCCAGAACCTTGTCAATGGGGAAAAGATAAGGAAGGGAAGGCTATTATAGAATACTGCAAATTTAAAAACAATGAAGGACGGGGT